TCTTACCTTTCTTTTGAAGATTCCTACATTTTTTTTAACGAAGATAGAGAAGTATAGATGAACAAAACCTTTATGTCTCAATAATCAATCTCTCTTAAAAATCTACCTGCTCGCTTTTTTCCCACCAACAAGGGTGATTTTCTACGCTATGAATTAAAGTTTTCACTTCTACGTTCTAATAGCAACTGAATAACCGCTCGGATATAGCCCCAACACTGTTCCCTGTATACCTGGTTTCCCGCTCTACTTGGTCGCCCTTGCCCTCCGATTGTCGCTCGGAATCCGACGACCGGTCGGCTGTAAAGAATCGCCGCTGTTTAAAATCGCAAACATTGTCATGTTACTCTAAATGCAGGTGTTGGTATTTAAATGCAGGTGTTGGCTAAAAAAGAGCTCGGAAACCGCGCTGCAAAGATCCGCTCAGAAATCGCGAACTTGGTCGGATACATGTGAACTGAAATAGTTCTAATTACACCGTGGCTCCGATTCTCTTGTGTTCCTCTGATATCTACCTGAATGACCTGTTCTGGATCCAAAATACTCAAACGAAAGGTTGGTTAAGTAACATGATCATTTTTCTTTAATAATCAGCCGATGTTTTGAATTTGATTGAATTCTTCTTCAGGGCTCGAGCCCTGAATTCTTCTTCGTGTTTTCGAAGAAGAATTTGAATAATTTCGAAACGTCGGCAAGAAAACAATTGGTTTGCTTCAGAAAAATTATTGGATCACTAAACTAGTTAACTGATATAGATGATATTGAATATCTATTTCTCGTCTCCTAAGTCGAATGAGTAGCGTATTCTTTGAAAAGAGATTCTATAGCTTGTATGATTTTGACAGAGTTTCAAAAGCTTATTAATGAATCTCAATGTTTTCAGTTTCTCTTGAGATTACTACTTGAAGAGAATGGTTACAGAACATTTGAAAACGATAAGGATACATCCAAGACACTGCAGGATAAAATACTTATCCTAAGCTCGTGTGACTAGATTATGACACTTTCTGGATGTACTTTACACCTCTGAAATCATCTAAGACAATGGATTTCTTGGTTATTCATTCCCCAATTCTCTAATGATCTTCCTTTTGTCTATTTTCTGCGATGCCTCAGTTAGGTACTGCTTTTTCAACACTGACAATAACATCTTCGAAGAGAGCTTGAATCGAAAAACTCTTATCCAGGAGATGTTGTCCTTCATTATTTTTGACTCGCAATTTTTTCCACAACTTTGATCATTTTCCTGCACTTTTCGATCGTTGCAAAAGATTACAGGTTTATGAGAAATGTGTAATCCAAATGTTGAACTTTACAAGACAAATTCAGTTCCTCTGAACTGATACAGCCGTCTTTACCAAAAAGCACTCAGAGAAGACTCTAAAAATGGAAGCAGTATTCGTTTTAGATTCAAATGACGCCTACTCCTAAGATGTTTTTATCCGTGACGGAAAGATGTATGACTTTGAGTCCACTCAGTATCCCTAAAGTAACCTTCGAGATACCGGGCGCTGTCTGCTATACTTTCCTTCTCTAACTCATCGGACCCTTATGGACCATCTAATAAGCAAGAATTACGAACCTGAATCTACAGAGGAGATGAACGTTGACTAAAAGACTCAAATTATTCTCTCAACAGAAAGAGCTTTTCAGTTCTCCAGTTGACTGAATTTACAGAAAAGATATGTTGATCAAACGACCCTAGCTGTTTTCTCTGTAACATCGAATCCCCCCATACCCCCTCCTGGGTTGAGTGCCTTGAAGTAGAAGCTTACCCCCTAGCTATTTAGCGAAGATAACCTACTACCCCACTCCATCCACCCCCGCTCTCCGAGTGGTCCTCAACTTACTGATGGGCACTTCAGCAAGATTGTCATCTGACTTTCGGTCGAAAGTCAGCCTTCAGGTGCTATTCTATCGCGATCGGTAAAAAATGTTTTGTCATGACTATTCCTAACTGAATTTTTGCATAGGGGTCCCCAAAAACTAACCGGCGGCTATTGTTATTAACGTCGGGTTCCTCAGTGAATCTATGGATAATTGGATCGCGGTCGAGTTGTTCTGCGTTGAACTTGCTGAAAGAAAATCTGATTAGTATGCTTACCGGAGTCGCCTGATGGCGACTCGTGGGGGCGGTCGTTGATTCTGCTTGGTCGGCCTTGGATGTTTGTCCCTTTCTTGGAACCTGGGGTTTCTGAATTTCCACTTCTCAATCTTCATAAAAAATCTAACAAACTTCCGAAGATAGGATAAAATCAAGGTCGAAATAAACTATTTACAAAGATGTATAGATCATGTAGGTATTGAAGTTAGTTTCAGATACATACTGGAAGTAAAAGTCACCCCCAAATAACTACTTCCACATGAACGTTGAATCACACGAAAGAAAAAACACTTTTGAAACAACTTTTTTCATATGAACATTGAATTATACGAAAATTACTTTTTTCTATTTAGTTTTTACTCCAAATATTCGTTATGTAATTGAAACAGATATCGTAACTTTCTCATAGATTATATTGTGTAGGGTTTCTATGGATTATATCGGCTTCAATTCCCTAACGAATATTTGGAGTAAGTACAAGATGAATAGGAAAAAGTGATTTTTTTATATGTTTATATGAATAGTTTCGAAAGTACTTTTTTTTTCGTATATTTCAATGTTCATGTGAGAGTAGTTATATCTGGAAGTCTTTTTCTTCCAGTTTGTATATGAAAATAACTGCAATGCATGATTTACACATCTGTGCGAAAAGTGTATTCTGAGCTTGATTGCTTTCTTCCTTCCTCTGGAAGTGTCCCATATTTATGTGTGAAGATGGAGGAGTAGAAGTCCCAATTTTTTTCCTAGATTCAAAATTTCATTTAATTTTCATTGCACCTACTCCAAAAACAGAAGCAATCAAAACATATTTCCTTCCAAATCTTTCTCGAAGTCATAAAAATAAAGTCGAACGTATATGGTCTTTCGAGCTGGATTTCTATTTCAACTATCCAAATCAATATTTTGGGTTTAATCGTTACTTGGAGGATAACTCATTTTTAAACTTTGTTTCATCACTGAGTGTATGCTCTTCTCTTTCATATCTTACACACTCATATCCTACCTATAGAGTCTATTTAGTTGTAGGTGGAAAGACCAACATTTTGACATAAGATATTTGAAAAATTGGTTTGAAATTATTTCGGGATCAGATTATGTCATTAATAGAACTACATGATACTGAAAATACTCTTAAGTATTATTATTATCGAGGAGAACGATTTGATTGTTTATTATAATGGATAAACTCAAAACATACTGAACGAATTTTAAAAATTACCTATTTCTTCTGAAAGCTGCATTATTAGCGAGTATTATTGGCTGCATGCATTTTCTCTACGAAAATTAAAATATTGTAATCCAGTATATCAAAAATAACCTATGAAAGTCAATTATTTGGAGTGTGGACTATAACGGATATTTTATTTTGTAATCTATCAGTAAGTATACCGTAACGGTAAAGGGTTTTGATTTGATGTTGCCAGAGTCTGACTTAAATGAATGTTGATTGTTTTGTGAGCGTCCTTCTTCAATTGAAATTGTTGAATGTCTAGCGATTATAAATTCGCCTACCCCTGAAAATCAGGACAAGGAAATATCAAGAGCAGATATTTCAACCTGCCTAGGAACCAATGCGAGTGTATTTCAAGCGGAACTTTACGCTATTGAATTGTGTGCACAGATTTTGGTGTAGCTACTCAACATTTTTTAAGTTTGCTCATTCCTTTCCATCATTCCATTTGAGTAAGGACATCATCTGGTTGAAGTCGCATCCTTCAGAAAAATCCCTGAAGTATCTAACTTGATTTGAATTGTGGACCACTTTCAGATAAGAACATACCTGGAATAACTGATCTACCAAATAATTCTTTCGAACATGACAGAATAGGCATTTTCTTCAAGTTATAACTAGATCCATTGACTGCTGTCTGTAGCAGAATAGATCATCAACGTTATTTTCAAAATAGTTTTTTTGAATGAACTACTTGACCAAAGAGTGTCAAAGTTGTTAAATTTCATATGTCACAATTGGAAGTTACTACCTCATGAGTATTTGAGTTGTTTTCGAACAAAAATTTTTACTAAGAATTGTTAGTGAGTAATAAAATATGTATTTTGCTTTGAGCCACTGATAGATGGTGAATTTCAAGAAGGAATTATTGTCTAACTGGAATTTTAAGTTTAATGTGAGTTAACTTTTTGTTTTCTCTGTGGTTGAAAAATATATATTATTATGTTAACAGTGTAATCTGATTTCGTTAATTATCCATTTTACACCTACATTTCAAGGAAATTGCCTTCAAAATATACGATCTGAGAATCACTACTAAAACTCCTTTAAATTAAGATTTGTTTGGAGAGCAATGTGAGTAAACATCTCGATATATTTCTACGTAGCATCTTTGGCCAGACATCTTCATACATTCCCCAATATTTGACATGCCATTTCGAAAATATATTCCGAATGAACCCATTCTCAATCTCGAGATATTCCGCTAACCAAAACCACATAAAAATGATGAATATATCATTGAAACCAGGGGAAAGGGCTATTTGGAATATGAGTAAACGGTCCGTTCTTGTCCATTGCCTATGCCGGTCACAACCGTGGGCTGCCAACTAGCAACGAACACCGAACATCACCCCAATAAACAACGTACCAAGCAGCAACAGCATCATCTAACAAAAAACAAACCATATCAATTGTCGCTTACGAAGACAACACCTCCATGTAACCGTATCTCGCACATAGAAGCCGGTAATACGTCAATAAATCCATACCGGTTATCAATGATCTATTAGCGCTCGGTCTCCTTCTAATCGCCCAACAAACGCCAATCTTTCTCCGTCCTAAGCGCGAGCAAATGCAGTGGGCCGGGTTAAGCCTGCCTATCGAGTGAGCACCAGAGCCAACCGAGATCGAGGTAGCGCGGTTACCTGTAAGGTAGCGAGGCAGTCATTCAGTGTCGTGTCCGCGCGGCGTAAGCTTCAAGTATCGCGGGTTCATCGCGCTGTGCCAGTGTTGACTGTTTTTTGTTTCCTCGATGGACTGACTTTGCTTTTCCGAAATGCTGATCTCGAACGGAAACGCTCTGGGCGGCGCAGGAAATGACTTTTCCAGTGTGGCCGCTCTGTCTGGCTGCTGTCCCGTTCCTATCACTCCGGCACCACGGTCGGCGATTGTCAACTGGAAAATGGATTCCGTCGGGTTGCCGACGCCTAGCACGGCGCCTAGTATCATGACTTCTGCGATTCCTCTGTCGCCAACAGGTTAGATATTTGAATTAAGCGAAATGTTACTGCTGACAATTTTCAGAATTGTCTTGTCAAATAACTCTGAAATCTGTAGAAAATGAGGATACCTAACATGATAATTTTCTGTTTTTATTCATTTTATATTGACTGGGTACGCATTTGTATATAGGAGAGGTGATATGGTTACACAAAATAACAAATTTTCATAAATGTCTTCTTTGGGCTAGAGGACCGCCGGTTCTCTGCTTGATTTCATACAGATTATGATGAATGAAGAATAAACTGAAAAGGTACCTTTATTTTCAGGAGAGAATAATTTTATTGAAAGAAATTTTTTGGCCTTCTGCTTCCCCATCTTGATACAACAAATGTAACAATCTTTCAAAGATAGAAAGGAAGCAATTAATTTGAAAAAGTAACTCTATACAAAGATACTACCAACCTAGTTGGCGTCTTCAGGAGATGTAGAAAACTCTTCTCTGATGTCAGTTTCTTACCATTCTGCTACTTCCTACGTCCTTCTTCAAGATGGGTAGCAAGTACCATTCGTCTCCAAAGAAATATTTCATATGCAGTTATCATAAAAATGTATGCTGATTCTTTGAGTTTACGGCGCTTAGCTTGTGGTTCATTTTTGGACCATTTTAGTTTTATTCAATTCTACCGGATGATCACCATAGGATTTCAAAAAGTGTTCTAACACATTGATGTCATGTGGTAAGATGTCTGACCAATTACATAACTGTCACAATAAGAATATAGTAAGTTATAATTGCAGCTTTTTTTGATTTCATGTTGTTGAGTTTAGTGAGTATGTGTGATTATATATCTTATTTTATAGGAAGTTATGTTAGATATGATGTTAATATCTAACATAACGGCCAAAAAAACCCACAAAATAGCTTTCACACAATCTTATCTTTTGTAATCAGTACTGTCCTATCAGATTCAGGAATATGAGGTATTAGAACTTGATTGTGAAGAGTGTTGATGGTTGTTGGGTTTGTGGCTAATGAATTATTTTTTTTTATAGTTTTGGTTGTTATAAAATTCTCCATTACAAAGCTTTCATTATTTCAGAAAATGACTCAAAATATTTATTTTGGTATTTGAGTTTATCGATATTCCAAAATAGTGGTAATAATGATAATTGCTGTTCAGGTTGTTCATAGTGGCAAGAGAAAGAATATATCTACATAAGAAAAACAGCAGTTTAGAAATTTCAGTGGCATATCTGTAAATAAGAAAGAAATACGGAATTGAGGAGTCTTAGTATGACATGTTCCTATTTTTCAGCTCAACCACCAGATATAATACTTCTGAAAATTCGAAATTTCCACCGTGGTAACGTACTGATTACCAATGAAACTATCCGAGTTGAAGTCAGTGTACGGATTTTACACAATTGCAACTTATATCAGCTGCACGCTACAAAAGTCGTTAAACAATATTCCTATTGGACTCGAGTCCCTACATTCTTTTCATCTTTTTTAATCCTAGTGCTGTAATCTTGGCTGATTCTTTTTCATGATTGATGTCGTGTACCTTCAGTTCCAAAGTGTTGTTAGTCAGTTAGAGCGGATATGTTTATTTCTTCTAATCTATCTGTCTATACATTTCTTCACTTGGATGACGTGCCATTCAAATATTTTTTCAGCCTTTCAGCAATGTTAACTCATTTCAGATATATTCAAGTACCTCATATTTTTCCTTATTCAAAGTAAATATCAGTTTATGTGTTGATCAGATCTTGGTCTCCAGATTTGACAACACCAGCTTCAGTCCCTTTGGCAAAATATTCTCTCTCATTTCCTTTTTGTTTTTTTTTTCATTGGGTGATTACCTTAAGCTTCTTCATCGATTTCCTTCATCGATAAATCCGTGATGAAAGAAATTTTATTACAAATATAGCGGTTCAGCTGTTTCATCCAGTGTGACGTTATACCTGAGAATTAAATTCTGTAATTTCATAGCGTGGTCCTTGTACGTTTGACACATTTGTAACTACAAATTCAAAACTATTATTTTGGCTTTTGGCTCACGAATTGTGATTGTCATTCATTCTTTTAGACTCAGGTATTGCTAGTTTGGAAAAGAGTTCTGTCAAGTGGCTGATAATCATGGATTGTCATTGATTTCAAAAACTTCATTTCTCAGCATCTTGAATGCGGATCAATATTATATCTTCAGTGAATAGCACCGTTCTTATCTAGACTTTGCCATAGATCATCAAGGAATGTATACAAGTATCTTCTCATTAATGAGTGTTCTATCAGGTTGAGAGATTACTGAACTGTTGAATCTGATGGTAGATCAGGAAATTAATTTTCTAGAGTGACTACGCTATCTAGCTGCTGTCCAGTTTCTGTCTCGGCTCCGCGATCGACGACTATCAACTGGAACATTGATTCCGTCGGGCTGCTGATGGCTAGAATGTCGACCAGCTTCATGACTTCTGCCAACAGGTTGTATATCGAAACAGTCAGATGAAATTAACAAGTGAATCAAACTTCTGTCAACTATCATTGGTACTCCACAAATTCAATAAACTATAGTAAGTATAGTAACTATAGTAGTTGTCAAGTTTTGTCATTATAGTATTTATTACAGAAAATAGATTCTGCCTTGATTTTGCGTGAACTATCACAGATATATCTAATTCACTGGCATAGATCACGATCCTGTAGAGATATGGAATTAAAAAGTAGCATATATTTCTTCTGGATAATGTAGCTTTCTGACAATGAAAAATGTGTAGATAATTGGGGCGATAGGTCTGATTGCAATAGTTCAAAGAAGAGTTTACATGTACATAATACATAAATATATTTGATAATGAAACTATTCGATTGGATAAGAAATAATATCATGAAACAAATGTTATCGAATATCAAAATTCTAGCCGTGTTCAGGCTCACCAATATCGAAAAGAAGCTGTTATTGTAACTCAACTATAATAGTTAGACAAATAGCTTCGTGGGCTATTTTGTGTGTGAAGTAATCATATTACATCATTTAATGTATCATCGATAGTTTTCCCATCGTACGTCAGATAATGATTTCCTCAAGAAAATTTTTAATATCATTATTGCAATTGAAGCCCATGTTCCTTGATGGTAATATATTCTTCTACCAATGAGATAATGGTGTTTGTATACTATTTTTGTTGTGTTGATTGGGTTTTCGTTCAAATATAAGACAATGAGGATCATTTGGTAATATTTGTGAATAATTACTCACAATTATTTTATTGTCCCACATTGGAAAAAATACGTAAGAGAAACGGACTGGTTTCCTGCCTTGGAGAGATGATGAAGATTATGATGGAAGGAAAAAATGAAGTACCCATGAAGAACTTACAAAAAAATCGCCATTTGCTTCAGCACTTATGCAATGAACTTGGATACTTGAACAGCACTTATGAAAGACCTTCTTTAGTATTCCCCCTTACACTAAAAAAAAAATGACATATGAACGTGATATACGACATCGTGACCTATACTCGTACACCGTTCCAAAAATGTATACACTTATATCAAACATATATTAACGAGAAATATGTAAAATTCAGTACAGTATAGTTCAGGTGAGTCGCTGAAAGAAATATGTGCCAGAATATGTAAATATATACGCTTTGAATTAATGGTAAAATCAAATGCTGAGCCGAAAATTTCACAGAGTATGAAGTAAATTACTCAGTTCATTTCTCAGAAATCCAACCAAAAATACTCCTTACAGATTTATTATTACTTAATAGTATTATAATTATTCAGTATTAACTTTCTATATCTATTTAATTTTTTCCGTAGTTTACCAACACTGCGAATTGTAGAATAGAGAACGTTGATTCAAAATTTAAAACTGTATTCATCACATCTTCTCATTTATCATTCAATAACCTAGTATCAGTATTCGCAACATCAATAATAATCATGTGCATGGGGTCCCATAACAGAGTTTTGAAGGACTACATGTTAACTTCCAAATACTCAGTTTCTCTATTGTATTTCATATCAGGGAAGTTTACTGGTATAGACGAATATTTTCCACCCTTAAGAAATGATTCAATACCATAAAATTCGAACAATTTTATCGGTATCTGTCGACAATTATGTATTCGAAGCGGGATAATGTGGCTGTTGATTTATCATTCAAGGCAGGATGAAATTTGGTAGATAAAGAATTATTCAAATGATTTTGTGAATACATATGTCTTCAATAATTTCAATCATTTGGAATCTTTTTATTTGTCAATCTTTATAACTTTCCAAATATTGGTATCACGATTTGAATCTGCTTGAAATCGTGTTGGCTTTTTCCATTGAACTTTTCTGATCCTATTCGTTCGTGATGGTTTTGTTTCAGTTGAATCAATAAAGAAAGGAACTAAAATCAAAGATTCCATTTCAGGACTGCATCATAAACCTTTTCCTTTAATTTTTAATACGCATGTTCACATCATTATCTGGCGCAGATATGCATGACAAAATTTAAATCTTTGCATGAATTTGAATTTAAATTTGATTCATTATGAATGTTTTCGAGAAAAACTGCACATCTCCACATACAGTCCTGTAAAGTAATTAAGGACATTTGTTGTGACTTCTGTTTTACAAGGTACTTACTGTGCATATTTCAAAATTCTTTCATCATAAAAATTGAATGGGTAAACTGAGTTCAACCGATGTCTGATGCAGAACTCAATTGGTTTAGTTTTCTGGAAAATTCGTTTATTCCATATGACCAATTTAGATTCCTATTCAACTTTGATCTTGAACATGTGTTATTGTCAGAGGATAAAATATCTCCTTCACCCAAATCTATATGGATATCTTCAACATCTTTATACAATCTATATAAGTCAATTTGTTAAAATTAAGTTCATGCTAATCATTCGAAAAACCAAAAATCCAATATATTGCTTTGCTGATGACAACACACTTGTCTCGTCATTCCATTAGGATTTCAGGACATCGGTTACGGAGGTTCATCTTCACCGGCAGCAGGAGGTTGCA